CGCTTTCTAGTAGCGTATGTTTGACTTTTATTTTGACAAATTCAACCTTCATTACTCGCAGGATTTATTTTCAAGACATTTACAAATAGTTATGAAAGTAGCTTATGGTCCTAGTTTTTTTTTTTCCTATATTCTATAGGTATCATTTTTTGGGTACCCGACAGGAGGCCCGTCGCGCGGCAAGAAGGCAGAGTCAGCGGACGAGTCGCAGCGCGTACTGTAGTGATTTCGCGTCAAGTTAAATAGAATGTACCATTGCACGTCCTACATCGCACATCACGCGCTGCGACTCGTCCGCTGACTCTGCCTTCTTGCCGCGCGACGGGCCTCCTGTCGGGTACCCCATTTTTTCTCTTTTGTGTATCAATAAATATAGCTAACGTTAAGGCATTCGGTAGTCTTGTGGAAGCAAGGAGAGCATTGTCATTATTCCAACATCACGATGGTGTAACTGGTACGGCAAAAGATTATGTTATGAAGGATTATGGAAACAAGTAAGATCTCAATAAGTTTGAGGCACATGCTTCTCTCTCACTTTCGTTTTTGCTATTTTAGTGACTTCTTCTGAAAAAAAGGATCAAAATTATTTACAGAATGTTATCAGCTCTTCAAGGAACGGAAAAGGTGCTTTCTGAAGCAATAGGTGGATTGATAGGTACTAGGACAGTGTCGAGTATGAGTCTGATTTTGGACGAGTACCGAGAAGAACAAGATTCACTACCTAAGAGAAGGACTTATAAGATTGGAGAGTAAGTGTTTTTACGAATTTTTCAACACCTGCGTGCTCATAGTAAATGCTTAAAAGGCCCTTTAAGCGGAAGGTCGCTCCTCAGAGGGCACTTTTTTCGTGGGTGCATTTGCATTGAAAGGGCTGTCGAGCGGGAACGCTCTCATAGGCCATTTTCACACACTCCACGAGTACAACGCCTTTATTATGATAGCTGCGTAGCCAGGAAATACATTTTTAAATAAACGGCTTGGATGGTTTACGGAGTTTTTGCAGATTTGTCGTTCTGTTCAACACACTGTCGCGATCAAGAAATGAACCTGTATGCATTCGAGTGGATTCGTTACGTGCTGCAGTGAAAGCTCCCAATGGAAAAGAGGTACTACAGCATCTTTCAACGCATTGTTTGCCACTTTTCTTCATAATTTGGACTTGAAATATTGCTCCTTTTTGAATTTTTTTTATTTTCTTTTGTTCATAATTTACGAAAACTTGTATCGGAAGAATTGCACAATTTTGGCTTCCTGACTTAACATGTAGTGGAGTCTTTTCATACCAAGCTTAACTACATAATGGAGAATAGCGGAAAGTCACTCGTTAGAAATTTTTTTACAAAGCCGGCGCGCAATGTGGGCTATGAGGGGGACTTGGGCTGAAGGCGACGGTCGCACGTTTCGCGACCCTGGGAGGAGAGCGAAGAATCGCGTGAGGCAAAGTGGTGTAGCAGATTACAGTCTAGGAGGGTGGGGGTGAGGCAGTATTTAATGAGCGTGAATAGCTGGAATGCTCGAAACGACACACAACAACCGTTCATATTCGCGGGAGCACGCAGGTTCCCCAGCAGCGGGAACTGCGTATGGGCGCGACAAGTTTTGTGACATGCTCAAGTTCTATAGAATGCAAGTAGTATAGATTAGTAATTCCATTCGATAAATGACTTGCCTTTAGCATATTTTTTCAGTTTGGCACCAAGTGTCACTGTATTGGAACTTCAAATGTCCCATGGTGTAGGCAAGCAAACAATTACAGAGGTTTGTGTATTCAACATTTAGATTGATATTTTTCTTTAGTGTATGAAATTTGATATCATTATTGTGACCTACACTGACTGTACATTGTATTCTTTTGAACGAGTTTAGGGTTACTTGTTTTTAGCTCTGTTTCGTCGATCAATTGAATGCGTTTGGAGTGAGCGTTTACGAGGTGATTGAAAAACCAGACAATAAGGGATCTCTTGCGACAGTCATGGCTGCGAGCAACTCAGCAGTGAGGTAAACTAAAACCACATGAGGCAAACCTTAATCTTTAACGATTTGGAGCCAGATGAAATCTTCGAAAGATAGCTTTTTGGTATATGTTTAGCGGTTTTGATTTCGAGGCGATCAAAGGAGAGAAGTTTTTGCTGAAAAATGAGCAACTTGAGGCAATCTTTAGCGCTGCTACCGGCTTTTTGCAGGTACATTAGTTGATCTATGGATTGATATTTATTTGACAGGTGTGATATTTTCTCTTTCCAGTCTGTATTACCTAACAATCATCGAGAAATAGTAGTGGATCTTCACTTTGTACATTATGGCGCACGGGATAATAGGAAAAAACGTAAGTTTTTTTTTGAATTTGAGTATTCAATTTTCCGTGTTTGGCTTTTATACCTACCAAAGATAGTTACCGCCTCTTACACAAATCGTGATGGTTCACAATAATCGTTCCAATAATTTTGGTCTTGAAAACTATACAATACTGTTCTTGTTTGTTAACTGCTGTTTTTGGCCGCAGTTTGTGCACAACCCAGTATTCTTGTGGAATATACAACACTGTCTCTCAATTGCTTTTGCTTATTCCTCTTTTGAGGGAATTCCATTTTCAAAAATGTTAGTGGCTTCTTCATCTTGCACAAACTGTACTACTCTACCCTTCTTAATTTTTTTCTTCTTCTAGTAGCTTTACTATAAACCAGGTTTCTTACTGTTTAGTGACTTTTCGAGAAAGACTGAGTGAGTTCTTACTGTTGTGAAGTACTGTGTTGTGTGTGAGTTTCATTTCGTCTAGGAATGGTTTTTGGGTGCCAAAGTGAACATTTTCTGGGTTAGGCTTTGGTTTCTTGGTTATTGATTTTGGAACGATTGAGAAACGAAGACAATCCTGTAAGGTTTTGCCCAACGATATGTAGAAAGGTATGGGCTAATTGAAGTTTCATTTCTTTTTGATCACAAAAACATCAAAAATTAAGTGCATAGTTTTCATTGATTCATTTCGCTTCAGAAAAGCAAAAAAAAATCCAAAGAGGCATCCCGGAAAAATCCAAAGGCACGATGCAAAATTTAAAGCGCAAGACATCCTTGATCTCCTTGATTCAGCTGCTTCATTTCATTTTTCTCCCTTTGTGAATATAATCAAGAGAGATTCGGAGCCTGGTCTGGTTTTCCTAGTTACAAATTAGGCATAGGCAAATATGAAAATGTTGCATCTCAAAAAAGATCTGTGTGTTGAATAGAAACAGAATAATTTTTATTTTCCTAATCGTCAGTTCAATAAGTTGAAATCACCATTTGTTTTTAAGTGAATAGTGGAGGAGGAAACAGCATGTCAGGTGCTTATCTATTTCTTCCCAATGGTGAAGCGACTGTATTACCGCACGATGTTCAAGAATTTGTGGTTCGTTTCTTGTCAACTTACTTGAACATTCGTTATTTCCCTCTCCTCTTATCAGATTCGCATTACAGTTATTTATTCCTTGGGGAATTTTCATTCAGCCGCAAATTTCAATGCTTCTTTTATTTCAGGTTGTCAATGGGCCTATCATGAAAAAAGTATTCGTTGTGGGACCTCAGGACCTAGAAATACTCCAAGTTTATACTCTAGCGTTGAATTCTCCTTCTATAGAAATAACCAATGAAGTCGATATACGGTACGTTTGGAATGCATCGTCCCCATGATGAATCACTGTGAATAAGTTAGTTGAATCATGCCGGATTTTGAGCCTTGACCTCGAATGCACCTAAAATGCACCAGTGGTAGACCCCTGTCGAAGCAATGTAAGTCCTCGGGCTTCGAAGTTGTCCTCGTACTTTGGGAGGTTGTATTTGCCGCCTAATATTTGATTATGGATATGCACCTTGTTGTACCCATGTAGCTACAGGCTGGACACAGCTTCCGATTAGCCCCATAGAAATGAGGTCAACGTTTTCACACTTGGGACATACTTCTACCAAGATAGATCCAAGTTATCCCTGCTCGAAACCAACTCCTTCCGAATATGATGCCGATTCAGATAAAAAATACATGTTTTCACTTTATCCCCTCTTAGCACTACAGACATCGGTAGCATATTACCTTAAAGACTTTAAACTTCCGCCACGCGTAGAAAAATTAGCAGGACCTTTCGCGTAACTTCTGTTTCAGGAAGAAGAATTCGACACTTTGACAGCAATGCGAATGAAATACACCAATCAGAGTGGTAGTGACATATATACGCGACCTCAATGGCCTTCAGTCCAAGCTCGCCCGACTAATCCGACAAACGTGAATACCCGTCGTTCAATAATGTATAAATTGCAGATACCGACTGTTTGTCCCGACGACAACTTGACAAGTTACCGCTGCAGGCTCATTTCTACCCGATGCCATCCGCCGCTTATATTGAGGATACTTCTTCAAGACTTTCTCTACATGGAAACCAGCCACTAGGAGTATCTAGCCTCAAAGCTGGTTCGCAATTATTTCTTCTTTTCATCATAGTGTGATCAGCCTGATGAGTAGGGGCAGAATTAAGATGCTAGACGACCTTCCTTCGCTTAGGTCAACTCGAAGTAATGCTGGACCGTCGCTTGGCACAAGATGATGAACGAGGATTGTTCCAGGTGACTACATATTTCCATGTGGTTTTCTTGTTTTTAGGAGTTATTGATTTTCGATTTTGTGATCGTAGCAGGCTGATTCTTAGGGTGTCACGGACAACCACCGGACATTATCCCGTTTCCGCCTTCTTGTCGAACCGTTGTCACCTCCAGACAATAAAAATTTGGCTCAAGAACGATTAGGATTCCATTCAATGGTTGGCCTTGCTCAGAGCGCAGAACTTCACTATCCACCTGTCCGGATGATTTCCAGCGGTAAGTTCAAAGTTCGATGGTAGTGTGTTTTTACTTAATGTAAAACTTGGCTTTTGGGCTGCTTTTATACTTGGCGAACTTGTAGAATAGAAGCATTTGGCTGCGAATTCGCAAAGTTCGTACTTATGTGTGGAAACGTTAAAAGAAAAGTTAGTTAGACCCCAAGTAGAGTTGCACTTTCAGAGAAACCGGGTGCTGACAGCGTGTCTGGGATGTCGTCAAGCCTTCCATGCGATGTTCATGTCGTTAGTCTCAGGTCAGTTGACGCTTATGATTTGACTGTACCTCTGCTTTTGTGAATTGTTTTTTTTTACAATCTATCAAATAAGTAATCTCAGGACTCTGGCGGGACCTACGAACTACAATGGTGATAGAATGGCATCACCCAAGAATGAAGCCGCGTTAATTTTACACCGATCCTTGACAGAATGTAGATCAAAACTAAAGCTGAATAGCGACTGTGATCGACAAGGAAACCCGGTAAGTGGAACCAGACCAAGATTTGCCTCTGTAAATGTGCTGAGAGCAGCAAGTGAATACTAGTCACTACTTACAATAACATGAACCGCCTTAAGCATCTATCTACATTCCAGATCTCACCAAAGACCCTATTCCCGTCAGTGCGTTCCATCAAAGAAACTTCACTTACTCTATTGTACGAGGGTAAAGAAACCACTCAAGTTACAATGCAGCCTCAAGATGTCACCTCGGTGAAGTTGTCGTGGTAGTCAACAAACGTTGTAAATATACTCTATTTCGGAAGGCGAGAAGATTGTTGAGTGCAGACACACACCACAAGTGACGACGGCCAAGAAAAAAGAAAGAAAAAGCCACTTTTTTCTTGGCCGTCGTCACTTGTGGTGTGTGGTCTGCACTCGACGCTCTTCTCGTTTTCCGAAATAGAGGATAGATAAGAGAAGCTTCAATTTCCATACCACTAACATTCTCGCTGTTTACTGTTGTGATTGCTGTAGCGTTACAGGTAGTATGTTCATGATTCGGCACTTTGCTAGGGCTTCTTTTTCTTGAAGGTTTTTTTTTCTTCGTTGGAAAAAACAAATTCTTGCCATAGTAATAATTATTTGTT